AATGACCAATTGAATGAATTTTCCATATGTCTTTTTGTTCAAGTAATCCAGCTGCACACACTGTTCTGCACCATTTTTGAGGGATTCGTGAGAGTCGATCAGCCAAATTTATCTCAGATGGAATCCATTGTACTGCGATCTGAATATCTTTTGCCACTTCCTTAATAGTATTCAATCGTCTTTGTACTAACAATTGAGAAATTCCCCGAGTTTTTACGCGATATTCTTCCTTCAAAACTGCGTTTAACCATCCTACGGTGCTCTTGCTATCACTGTATACTGTTAACTCTTTTATGCCCCACTTACTAGCTAAGTTTAGTCCTCGAAGTATAGAATCCAGTTCACTTATATTGATATGGTGTGTGTCACTTGCTGGCCGTAGCCATGCTGCGTCTTCAACAACTACTCCACCAATGAGCAGAACTACCCCAAGTCCTATAGATGATGCATCACAATAAAGCTCAGCTTTTCCATTAACTGGTACCAGCCATTTTCCACCAACCGGATCCTCTTTTTCCACACGGTAAAGCAACTCTTTCAGTTTTTCTTTACAATCTTCAGAAATAAAATCACACCAAGGTATATTTCCAGCTAAACGTTTGATGTATGAAGCTTGTAAACGCAAACTTCCTGCCACTGGGTAATGTCCAATAAGTTTGCCTAACTGGCTGAAAAGCTGTGATCGTGTGACTGCATTTAAAGATTCGAATTGTACCACATTGTCTCGTTTCCATATCAGTTCCCCGTTTTTATTTCTTTCGACTCTCAATCCTAAGACACGTCCTTGTTCAAGATCTTGTGGAGGTTTACATTGTAATCCGAATTTAAGCAGATGCTTCGCTACATTTTTCGCAGTTTCCACACTTTCATCCACAAATATATCATCAATGTAGTTATCACATGCTTTCTTTACGGTTGGATTTAAATTGAGCACATGCCGAAGAATTGTGGTCATTATTGTTGGAGCCACATTGATGCCAAAACACATCCTGGTAAAACAATACCGTTGCCCATTTATAATCACCGTTTGATATGGCCAAAGTTTTTTATCAATATGAATTTGGAGGTAGGCTTTTTTAAGATCGAGAATTTTTGCATTTTTTATTTTTCTCCAGCAACGCAGTTTTTCTTGACAAACGTCTGCATTTGCCGTATGACAATTTACAAATTTGTTGAGAGCTCGGAAATCTCCCACTGGACGTACCTTTTTGTCCTTGTTTTCTTGCACTACGCACATAAGCGGTATCAATACTTTTGGTGGTCCCAATATTAGTTCGTTATATGGTACAAGAATACCAGAGTCAATCCATTCATGTATTTCTTTATGGTAACTACGTTTGTGCTCTTGGTTCATCTTGTATTCACAAATGGTATTATCAATTACAGGCTCTTTATTTCAGTTCCATGATGCCGTCCATTTTTTTTCGTCGAACTTTGCTGTGAAGTCCTGATGTTTTATTTGTATGTTGTATTTTTGACATCACAATTTATTTTTTGTACTTCGTTTTCGCTTTTTCTTGTCGTATTAATAACATCAACTTTTAATTCGTTTATTTCGTTTTCGTTTTTTCTTGTCGTAGTAACAGCACCACATTTCGCTTTGTTACATGCTAACATTCGGACGTTACAGTTTTTATTACCATAAATGATAACTCCTCCAAATTTTTTAATTGCATTCATTCCAAAAATCAAATCAAACCCAAATGGTTTTTCTTTTACAACCAGAGAATTAACCATCCGGTGTATTCCATCAATTTCCAGATTGATTACCATTTCACCCAGCACTTGCACAGTTCCTCCCAAAGTTGTGATAAGTTTTTGACTTTTTAACACAAGCCCATGCGCGGACTCAGCATGAACCACAGTAATGGAGCATCCAGAATCAATTAATGCTGTTCGGAGCCTTCCATTTATTTTCACTTTTAATGATGGCAACGTCATTTCTGGGAGAATACTGGATGCCATTATTTCCAGATTCTCCCTTTTCCTTTTAAACCTTGCAATCGTTTAAAGCAGTTTTTAGCTTGATGATCGTGTGAACAAGTCTTGCATTTTTCTTCGCAGTCCCTTGCAAAATGTCCAAGTTTTCCACAATTAAAACATTTAACTTTGTTTATGTCGGACGCACCAGACGTCTGTGAAAGTAACGATGTTGCGCCAATCATTACATTCTCGGAACCATCTAATTGTCGAGCTTCCTGGGTTACTCGTTCAAGGGTAACAGCTATTTCCACAGCCTTTTCAAAAGTTAGTTCTTCAGGTTCCAGTAGTAACCGTTGGATTGTAACACCATTGTTAAAACCCGTGATGAATTGGTCGCGCATTCGATCATCTCTATCCGTGAATTTGCATCCTTCAGCAGCTCTTGTAATCCGTCGTGAAAATTCCATCACATTTTCGTTACTTGCTTTTTTTATAGTTGCAAATTCAAAGCGTAGTATTAACGATGACTTTGGTTTAAAAAGCTTCATGATGTTTTCCTCGATGTCTTCGTAGGTAACTGAGTCATATTATCGTAGGTAACTGAGTCATATTATCATATTATTGTCGCGTCCATTTCATTTAATAACGTTTATAATCTATAGCTTTATATATTCTTTCTCACTCCTATACAAAAATCTTTTCTCTATATATATTAAATTAAAAAGTCCCATGAGAATATACTGTTAATTACAGTTGAAATAACTTACGTAGATGCGTGATTTTCAACACGCATCTACGTGATTTCTAACACGTACAATTCACCAACATAATAATAGAACACTTTATAGATGTTTTAAAAATATTTCAAAAATGCACAAATAAAACTCAACTTTATGGGAGACAATCACAGAAAAAACCTCAACCAAAATAGGAATTATTTTTTAGGTTAAAACTTTTAGTTTGCATAATACAAAATAAAATTTGTTTTAATATTTCTATAGTTTTAATCAAACATAAATATAAAAGAGTGACACTTAATTTTATAAAAAATTACAAAAGACTGAAGTTCTATTATTTTTGTCTAAACAAAATTTAAATTTTACCTTAGAAATACATACTTTTTAAATAATAAAAAGTTAATCTATATTTATAAAATTTGTTAGTTTTTCATAAAACTTTCTAAAAAAAAAAAAAAAAAAAAAATTGGTTTTTTCAAAGAATAGGAGATTTTTCAAAAGATAAAACAATTTTAAAATATACATTCAGAGTAAATTTAACTTTTGGTTGTTGGCAATTAACTTTTTTTGATAATAAATGAACAAAAGTAAAATGTTTTTATAACAATATAGAAATCAGTAAAGTCAGTAAATTTAGTTTATGAATTTTTGATCTTTTTATTTTAATTATTATGCTATTTTATTTTACTATAGGCAAAAGAAAAAAATGAAAAAAAATTTTTTTTCAGAAAGTTTTGTTCCTTTTCCATATTTTTTTTGACTTCATAATAATAAAAATAATGATTACAATAACTTCATAAAAGATTTATTAAGATTTACTTATTTTTAAACTTCAATGTCTTTAATGTTTAAAAAAATCCTTAGTAAATGTAACTTATTTAATAAACACAATTTTTTAAATTAAAGTTAACAATTAAAAATATATATATTTTTTTAATCAAAGAAGTATTACAATTTTTTTTTAATAATTAAGTTTACCGTAATTTGCTTTTTAATATAATAGGCGTGCTTTGAAAATTATTAACCTAAAGTAAAAGTTATATTGACAGATTTGCTAATATTTAAATTGAAATTAAAATTAAAATAATAGTAAATATCTTTATTAAATACTTATGTTTTGTTATAGAATAGTTATTGTCTATAGAATAGTTATTGTCTAATATTATATATAGACAATAAACTATTTGAATACAAGCCTTAAGCATATTTACTATTGTGTTAATTTTGCAAATATTATGTGATTTATAAATATTGATTAAAAATTGTTGAAGTATTTAAAACATTTAATATCTTCTAAAACTTAAATAACTAAAATATAGTTACTAAATGTTCGAATTACTTTAGGCAATTTTCAATATATATTTACAAATAGTGTAGTATTTTCAACTTTTTTCTTTTCACAAAAAAGTTTAAAATTTTTTTTTCTTTATAATTTAATATCGTGTAAAGTTCTTTTGACATATTTCATTTATGAACATATATTATGTTTACGAATATTTATAATCCAATTATAATTTCACTTTAGGTATAAGATCTAAAAATAAAACATTCTTTCATAAGGAAGTTACTTAACTTTTAATACTAGAAAAAGTTGGAGTAAATAAAAAAAGTGATAAAATGTTGTTAACACATCAGATGAGGATGGCGTTCCTTATCAATTTGATGAAAACTTTAATATATGTAAAAGTTAATAATAAAAATAAAAATTGATAATAAAGCAAATAATTTTATTTAAAAAATACAAAAAACTTCAAAAACTATTTAAAAAAAAAACCTATTCTCTGTGATTTTTCCTTAAAAACTATTTGACTTTTTGAAAAAACTTATGAGAGGGGATGGAAAGGGTTAAGGTAAATGACCTTCTCCCTGTTTTTTGAGGACCTGTTTTTTGATATTAAGTTTCAAATTGAATTTATAAATTATCGCTAAATTTTAGCAATATTTTCGTGCTTGCCCGTTCACCCCACTTCTTGGAAAAAATCCTATGCTACAAAGACAAATTTCTCTGAAACTACAGGTTGAAATTGTTGAAAATTTTAGACATAAACTCTTAAATTTATGTATTTTTAAAAAATAATGATAGTTAAAAAATAATAATAGTGTAAATATGAAGAAAATAATTTTGGCTACTCTTTACTATGGAACCATCCCACAATGAATGGGATGGTTCTATACAATAAATATACAACATAAATTTATATAGTCCATATAAATTTATGTTGTATATTTAAAAGTGTTCTTTTTTCTTTAACCACTTTTGAAATGATCCTAGTCTACCCAATAAAATGTTGTACTTTAAAGGTGAAATAAATAGTTTAATACCTATTTGTTATCATGTAGCTTGGTTGACGATCGAGTAGTGGTGGAACCAGATGCTGGAAACTTAGAAAATCCACCAACAAAGTTTAGAGGTACTTTAAACTTATTTTTTTTTAAATTCATTTTTAAAAAGAATAAAAATGTTTTAAACTTAAATATTAAAATAATTTTTTTTTAGATTGTTTGTTTAAAGTACTGCCTATGAACAGATATTCGGCTCAGAACCAGTTTTGGAAAGCTGCAAAACCTACACTCACAAGCACAAGTGATGCTGTTTTACTTAAAAAGTTACATGTGGGTATTTTTTCATTCATTTTGTATTTTTTTAAATACTTTTTTATACTACTTAACAGCCACTTTTTGTAAAAATACAAAAATACAAATTTTTAATAGTTTTGTTCTCCTTTAAAAGTAATAATTTTTTAATGTTGTAACTATTCATACTAAATGCTTTATTTGAAAATTAAAAAAAATATAATATAAATAAATAAATCTAAAATTTTTTTAAATTATAAAGTATAAAAATGCCTATAGGGAAGACAATTGTGGAGGGGGGAGTAATGTATAGATTTTGTGACGTTTTTGACTAAAAAAGGAAAGCAAACCTCAGGAAAAGCATTTGGTCGTAAATCTTATAAGACTACGCATTCAATTGGCGACTTGTCAAATGTTTTTTGCATATTTTGATAATTTGCACGTTAAACAAATACGCTGAAAAAACCTAACTAATATAAAGGGATTCCAAACTTCCGAGACATGAAAAAAATGTTAGGGTTAAATTTTTTTGATTAAAATAAAAGAATAAATGAATACCAAGAAAAACTAAGTTTTTTATTTTAGTCGAAGCTCGCCTTCTTCGTTTTATTGTAGGCCTAAAAGTCAGCATAATATACGCCGCAGTCTTCAGACTTGATAATTTATTCAAGTGCATTTTATTCCAAAGAGTTTCAGTACATGACCTCATTGATTTTTTTTGTTTGTGTAAGAAGATCGTAAGAAACAAACAAAAAAGTTAATGATGTCATGTACTAAAATTCTTTGGAATAAAAAGTTCTTGAGTAAAGTACTTTTTATTGCAAAGAATTTTAGTACATGACATCTAACTTTTTTGTTTGTTTTATCATTATTTATCAAGTCTGTAAATTGCAACGTATAATATGCTGACTTTTAGGCCTACAATAAAACGGAGATAGTAAGCTTTAACTAAAATAAAAAATTTAGTTTTTCTTGCTATTCATTTATTCTGTTGTTTTAGTCAAAAAAATTTAGCCCAAACATTTTTTTTTATCATTCTCTTTAATATGAACGCAACATGTCTCAGGTTTGGGATCCCTTTAAAGAGAAAATTAAAAATAAACAAACCATAAACTGGAAAGGGAAACAAACTGAACAAATGATAAAATAAATAAAGGATAAACCAGAGAAAATAAAAGCGCAAAAGTATTGTATTTTATTTAGTGCATCTTAATTAATAGTTCAAACCTAATTAATTTGTCTTTTTTATTAGAGCGTCCCAATTGCAATTTAAACTAAGAAAATATTCTTCTATCACTATGCTAGTGTAGCGCTTAGATTGATTTACTGCTACATTTATTGAGGCGCAACCGTAAGTTCAGCATTAGATAAGGGTTCAAATCCTTTAATATCTAGGGATATTTTTTTTTAATGTTTTATTTGCTTAGTAGATGTTAAAAATGTTTCAATTTTTTGAATAATTAAGTTTCAATGTAATTAAGTTTGGATTAAATATCTTTGATCTTTTCTAAATTCTATGTAAATTAAAATCTAAACCTATCATTTACTAATATTCGTGGTCTTCGAAGTAACTTTTCTTCTGTTGAGTCTTATCTCTTGCAAAGTTCACCAGACTTACTTGCTCTTTGTGAGACTAATTTGAGTTCGGCTGTCCCATCTTGTGATCTTAGTGTTGATGGTTATCTTCCTTTAATTCGTAAAGACTCCAATAATCACATGCTTGGCCTGGGCATCTACATTCGTAAGAACTCACCCATTTGTCGTGAAACTAGGTTTGAATCTACAGACTATTCATTTATGTGCTTTCGTTTAGCACAACTTCACTCTATCGCCTTTCTCTTTGTTCTATATCGCTCTCCTTCATCCCAAGATTGCACTATTCTTGATGCTATTTCTGATCAAATTGACCAAGCCCTCTCTCTTTATCCATCGGCCAATATCGTCGTTGTTGGTGACTTTAATGCCCATCACACCGATTGGCTTGGCTCTAGTGTCAGTGACTCTGCTGGCGTTAAGGCCCTCAACTTTTGCCTTTCTCAATCTCTAACTCAAATAGTCAACTTTCCAACTCGTTTTCCAGACAACCCTAATCATTTACCTTCTCTACTCGACTTATGTCTTGTTTTGGATCCTAGTCAGTGCTCAATTTCTCCACATTCACCCTTAGGTACTTCTGATCACGGTTTGATCTCTCTAAAACTATTATCAAACTCTTCTACTTCATCAGAATCCCCCTATCATCGTACCACATACAACTACCTTAAAGTTGACTGGGATTCTTTCTGTGATTTTCTTCGTGATGGCCCTTGGGTAGAAATCTTTCGTCTTCCTGCTGACAAATGTGCTTCTTACATAACTTCGTGGATTCAGGCTGGCATGGAATCTTTTATTCCCTCTCGACGATTCCAGGTCAAGCCTCACTCTTCTCCTTGGTTTTTCTCACATTGCGCTGCAGCAATTTCTAATCGAAACCGTTACTTCCATATCTATCAGCAAAACAATTCTCCAGAAAACAGACATCTGTTCACTATCGCCAGAAACCATTGTAAAAAGGTTTTGTCTGACGCCAAAATTCGCTATTCCCAGGTCATTAAATCTCGTATCTCATCACAAAAATTAGGCTCTCGAGACTTCTGGAGAATCTTTAACAGTATCAATAATAAGGGCAAATCTGTTATTCCTTCTCTCTTGTATGGTTCAGACTTTGTCACCTCACCTAAAGACAAAGCTGAATTGTTTGCTAAGAACTTTTCATCAATATCATCTCTCGATTCCACTAGTTGCGTTTTACCTGACATAGCTGTCAAACAGGTTGATCCCTTGCTTGACATTCGCATCACTTCAGCTTCTGTATCAAAAGTAATTTCCTGCTTAGACTCTTCAACAGTTTGTGGTCCTGACAACATTCCTGTTGTAGTCTTGCAGAGGTGTTCTCCGGAGCTTTCACCCATACTTTCAAAACTATTTAACAAGTGCTTATCAGAGTCTTGTTTTCCATCATGCTGGAAAGCAGCATCTGTTATCCCTATTTTCAAAAATTCTGGAGAGCGATCTGATTCATCTAACTACCGTCCCATTAGTCTTCTTCCTGTCATAAGCAAGGTTTTTGAATCTTTAATCAACAAACACTTAATCTCTCATCTTGAATCAAATAACTTACTTTCTGATCATCAATATGGATTTCGGTCTTCTCGTTCTACAGCTGATGTGCTAACAGTAATACCCGATAGGTTTTACCGTGCATTAGATAGAGGTGGAGAGGTTAAGGCTATCGCACTTGACATTTCTAAAGCTTTTGATAAAGTTTGGCATGCTGGTCTTCTCCATAAGCTTTCTTCTTATGGTGTAGCTGGTAACATCTTTAAGATTATTGAGTCCTTTCTTTCCAATCGTAGTATAAAAGTTGTCCTCGATGGACAACGCTCTTCTTCACATCCTGTAACTTCAGGGGTTCCTCAAGGTTCAATCCTTGGCCCTATACTCTTTTTAATTTACATTAACGATCTTCCAGATATTCTCACATCTAAGGTGGCATTATTCGCTGACGACACTACCATTTACTCTTGTCATGATAAGAAGCCTACACTCTCTGATTGCTTGGAGGGGGTATCTGAGCTTGAAAAGGATCTCACTTCTGCTACAGCATGGGGCTCACAGTGGCTGGTGAACTTTAATTCAGATAAAACTCAATTTTATTCGGCCAATCGTTATCGTAATAATTTAGATCTTCCTATATTTATGAATGGTAATGTACTAGATGAGTCATCTACTATTCATCTTCTAGGATTAACTCTTACTTCTGATCTTTCTTTTAAACCGTATATCAAATCCATTGCAAAATTAGCATCTGCTAAGGTTGCATCTCTTTATCGAGCTCGACACTTTCTTACTCCAGATTCTATTCTCTATCTCTATAAATCTCAAATCCGTCCCTGTATGGAATACTGTTGCCACATCTGGGGCGGATCTTCTAATGATGCTCTTTCTCTTTTAGACAAGGTGCAAAAACGAATTGTAAACATAGTTGGACCTGCTCTGGCAGCCAATCTCCAACCTTTGTCACATCGTCGTAATGTTGCTTCTCTTTCTCTTTTCTACAAATACTATAATGGGCACTGCTCTAAAGAGCTAGCGTCCCTTGTGCTATCTACTAAAATTCATTCTCGTGTTACTTGCCATTCAATTAAGTCTCATCCTTTTTCTGTGACTGTTCCTAAGTGCTTCAAAAACTCTTATTCTTCTAGTTTTTTTCCTCGAACATCAGTTCTTTGGAATTCGCTTCCTTCATCTTGCTTTCCTGATTCATATAATTTGCAATCTTTTAAGTCATCAGTCAATCGTCATCTTGCTCTACAGATTTAGTCTTTTCTCTTCCAGTAACTTCCAACTTTTATAGTGGTTGCTTGCAGCCTTGTTGGAAATGAAGATGTTAAAAAAAAAAAAAAAAAAAGGTTTATTTTTTATTTATTTTATCATCTGTTATTATTTTTATTTTTTTTTTGGTTAAGTTTAGTATTTTTCTTTTCAGTTTTTATTTCTCTTTTAAGGTTTGTTTGTTTTAATTTTAGTTTAATTTTACATTTATTTTTTATCACATTTTAAAAATGCTTTAATTTTCAATGCCTGCAAAACATTTTATTGTATTATTTTATATTATCATTATATTGTCAAAACAATATTATATGTGTGTTCATATAAGGTATGCGACCGCATGCCTTTCCTGAGAGGACTTAGGGAAGAGTTCAAAAAGCTCCAAAAAAAAAAGTGTGATTTAATATAGGATTAGCCTTAAGTTTTGAGTCCTGAATTTTCAATTAATTATTGTAAAAGAAACCTGAGCATAGTTCTTTTAACTATCAGGTTAAAAATAATACGAGCTGAATTTATTTAATAATTTTTGGATTTTATAACTTAGGGGTTGTTTATAGGTTACGTCACAGTTTTTGTGTTTTTAGGTATTCTACTAGATATAGATTTATAATAATTAAATTTATGGGATACTTTAAACTTTAAGTGAAAATAAAGGTCAAAAATTACAG